AATAAATATTAAAAAAAAATTTTTTTTTTTTTTTTACTCAGATTTATCTTTCCCAGAATAGGCATGTAAGTTAAAAGCGTTGTCTTATGTGAGTGCCTAAACACTAGATGAGGTAAATTCAGGCTTGTGCATCTAAACTATGGGAAGAGTGTTTTTTGGGTCGCTGGCATTGGAAGGCTGTATGGAGCCAGGTTCTCCACAGGGACCTACTGTCCTTCCATCTTCAGTAAGCTGACTTGAAGAATGGTCCTATGACACTTTAGTGATTATTTCTGAATAAAACAGATGTTGGAGACCAGTCTGTGGTATGGCTGTGAGGCACTTTCTCTGCCATGTTATATTCAGCTAGGGTGTGCTGTCGGAGAAAATTAGTGAGGTTACTTGGGAGCAGCACCAGGAATTTAAGTTGTAGTACTTACATATTTTTTTAGCACTTTAAGATCTATTTCTGTTTACAGATCTGGCCTAAGATAGTGACAGAACTGCCAATTTTTAGATAAAGAATGGCAATTGTAAAATTTCTAATGGTCTTATTTTAAATATGTATTTTGAGGGAGTAAGGGATAATATTAAGGACTTTCTGTGCCCAAACTTGTGTTACTTGATCTTCTTAAACAGGCAAAAATGGGGTGGAGGAATTCTGCACTACAGGCACAAATAAGTAACCTCAGTTTTGTGATTGTGATTTCCCCCCCCTCCCTTTGCCTAGTGTCAGGTCTTTTCTGTTGCACAGTATAAGCTCTTCAGTAGAGATTAGGCGTTTTGGTTTTTTGTTTTATAGGGAGAGGAAGAAAAACTAACCCTGCACAAACGTTTTAATTCTCTGTGATATATTAAACTAGAGGAATTGCATTTTCCTGGCTGGTTGGTAGCAGCAAGCTGTTTTGCAACCAAATTTATTTAGGCTGAACAGTCGTTCAGCAGCAAGAGATGAAAGCTCAGTGAGTTTATTTTATGCTGGAACATTTTGTATGTTCTTGTCTGATGCAGAAGAGAAATATTATAGGAACCTGTTCTTATTTATATAGCTCTTCTTAAAGTCTCAGAATGGTTTATAAGTGCTAAATTAAGTATGAGGCAGGCAATTACATAATATCCCCATTTGTAAAATGGGGATAATCATAGTTCAGGAAGGTTAGCTGCACGAGACCACATTACCATCATTAACAGAAGTAGAAATAATGAGTCAAAGTCCTGAGTTACTTGCGCTTATCTTCTATATTATGGGTTTCGGGCATTTCAGCCTGTGTTTGGCTATAAGAGCAGAGAGATTATAAAGTGCACGCTGGTTAGGTAATTTCATTAACCCTGTTACCTCTACTAGGTTTCTCACCATACTTATAATCTGTGCTCGTATGTCAATGCACTGATTGGCATTTTAAATTGAGGTGTATTGGACCAAATTTCTTTTAAATCTGATGATAAAACTGTGGAACACAATATGATTAGGTAATGATTTTCAGCATCAAATTGTTCTTAATAAAAGGTGTTTGAATTTGAACTTCTATGTTTGTTCAATCAATTTTAAGATCTTGGTCTTTTTATATAGGCAAGTTTTTATCATAGAGTTGTAGGCAAGATACTTAAGAATATCGAATCAGATCAGAATGAACTATGCCAACATGTTGGGTCATGCTTTTGATTTAGCTCCAGTCAACAGCATACTTCACAGAAATGCTTTGCGTACCACTTTACAATCTGGGTCTTTGGTCAGCATTGCCCAACTGCCTGGTCTTTTCATTGGCACTTTGAGCCATTTAAGGGAGCATTTGATTTTGAAATTGGAAAAGAACTCCCTGTGTGAAAATAGAATTATGTCCTTTTTTAAGGAAGTTGCTATGCAGTACTACTAGTAAATACTTACCTGCATGGTCTCTCTGAAGCACTGTGTAGAAGTTAAGATACAGTGCAAAACCTTTCTGTTTACCTTTCTTGTTGTTACTTGATTATTCCCAATACTTCAGTGATAACAGTAATAGAGCACTTCATATGCAAAACCCTTGGGGTAGAGATTTGCAAACTTCTGGTGTTTGTTGCCAAGTTTATTTTTTGCAAAGTGTTCTCACTCATTGCTCGTAGTACCAGCCCACATCCGAGTCTGTGCCAGTCCTTTTCCATTTTGTGCTGTAGGGCAACTTTCTAACACAATCAGACTTAAACTTTTCATTTGGTTTATTGTAAAGATTTACCTTTTCTTATGGCTTCTCAGTGTACCACTTGAAGGCACTCACCTTTTCTAATAATGCTTTGTCAGACAGACTTTCATGAAAGGTTAGGGTTATTATGCATTATTGATAATTTTTTTTTTTAAAAAATAGACGATGCGACCTGAAATGCTTGCGGAGTTTGGTCAAGTTGGTCAAGAACTTCCTTGCTGGGAGAGGGGTTATATTACTGCCTGTAGGGAGCTTATTGACTCAGTACTGTTTTCTTAGTTTGTACTCTTCACCTTGTTACCAGATTCATTTGAAGTGTTATGTTGTGTGATAGCACAACATTAATGTAATTTTATGACAGGGTCATTTGTGGTGGAGGTTGGGTTGTGCCATGTGGAGGGACGGTACGCAGGCTGGGAACTTGGAAAGAAAGTCTCCTGGTGTCTGCAAGGTCAGAGAGGTGGTTTCGGTACAGGCAGATGCAGATCTCTGGGGAACAAGTTTAATAAATACAGTGTGGAAAAAGATTCTTGGGGCTTCTCAAGTGGGAGATGCGTGGTGGATAGGAGACATCCCAAGAGTATCACTATTTCCAAAGTAATATTGTGACTAAAGAGGGTTTATTTTCTTTGATGGTACCTCAACTTGCATCTGAAACACGACTGTTCTCCTGTCATGCTAGATATTCCTCAAATACAGAAATTTTTTATGTAATGCAACTTGAAAATAGTTAATGGTTAGTTACAATATTTGTCAATGCGCTTTTTAGCCTTTTTTGTACACCTTTTACGCTTGCCTCCGACCAATTACTCGCATGCAGTGTTTTCTTTGTTTCTGGTTTGGTGCTTAAGCCCTTAGTGTGAGACCTAGCTAGACTGTAAAACCCTCCTTCAGCAGCTTGCTTATGCTTGTGGCGATAACCTTTCTGCAGGGGGTTGTGCTGTTTATTTACAAAATTCCATTTTCTAGTTACAAGTAGAATATTATTAAGAGAGTCTTCTTTTTACCAATTAGGTCAAAGTCCTAAAATTTTAAGACCTAAACCACATGGTTTAGAGCGAACTGATTCACAAACCATAGGTGACTTTACTACAAGAAGAAAGGGTATGTACTTTAGCACTGTATGTATATGGAGCTTTATAAAAATAAGTAAACAAAAGTTAAGAAAACTGTTATTCTACAATAACTTTAACTCTTGTATTGTCTTTTTATTTCTATTATAATCTAAGATCATGGATGCATTTTCCTTGCCAAGCAAAAAGTTTCCTGTATAAGGAATTAAGGTCTTCCTGGCTTAAACAGCGCATGGAAACGTTTCCTTGATGTTAATATGGCTGTTCTGATCTCTTAAGTTTTAGTTGTTTATATTTTAGATTTATTTTTGTCTGTTTATTTAGAGGCAAGTATATATGACTTACCTGTAAGTTGCTCGGAATAACTTTTGTTAGACAATAATCTGAAATCAGAGTTTACTTGAGTCTCCTGCCATTGGCTAAACACTCAAATAAAGCAAAATATTGATCTTCTGACCATTTACTAGTACAGAGATTTATTTATGCATCTTAATGAGCATTGCAGTTTGTCTGATGGGCTTTATTGAAGGTCCTGAGTTGGTATAGTCATGAGAAGTAGAGGAGATTACAAATAATGTTAAAAATCTCACAAAGTGTTGCTGGTCATTACCTTTGGACAAAGTCCTTTCCCTCTGCTGGAGCAGAACCTTGCCCACTGATTATACCTGCCATGTAGTCTCAGGCCTTTACAGAGGACTTGAGCCAAGCTGATCATTTTTGTGTCGCTCAAGCTTTAGTATCATCTTGCCTACATCAGGTTCAGTTCTGCCACTCTTCTCTCATATGAGAACTTATATCTTGAGATAGATAAGTTGTAGTTCCTCTTCTGAGTCTGTGGTGACAGCTTTTTATCAGCAAGTGAGTTAAAGTGGCAGAATTACTGGATGAGGCTTGATGTGCTTTGAGTGTGTAACTATGACTTCTTAACAGAGAAATGGAAAAAACTGGGATACAAAAGACTGATACTTATCCAGAAAATTTGAATTGGGAGTCCTTATGTTCAATATATCACAGCGGACTTAATCTGAAGAGTGAGTACAATGAAAGTATAATGCGTACAGTTCTGCTTTCTCCTTGTGAGACAGCCACACAGATTAAGCAATTCTTTTCTCTCAGTTCCTCCATGTGGTCACTTATGACAGCTCTTACTCCACATGAACTAGTGCTACATGCTTGACACTTGATCTTGGTAAATCTGCTAATAGACAGCAAACTGATGGAGGGGCAAGGAGAGGAAAGGGTGTTGTTATAATCACATTGCATTTTATTTTCTAAATGCAGTTTTAGGGAGGAAGAAATTGAGATTCAAACTGACAGCGGTTTGACTGTACGTGGGTTCCCCCCTGCCCCAAGTCCTATGATAGATGATACTTTTTTTTTCCCCTAACATTTAGGAGGGGTGAAACATAGAAGTTGGAGGGAGGGATGATGTGTTTCTCACTAATACTCTATTTGTTGTTCTGTTCTGAAAATGGAATTTAAAAATGGCACTTTTTTAGAACAGTGTTAGCTGTCATTAATGACACAAACACACCGCTACTCTGCTCATCTGTTGATAACCGCTGAAGCAAGCCAAGCACCTCTTGGAATTGAAGCTGGGTGTTCACTCATCTCACGTTTGCAAACTTAGTCTTAACTGCAGATTCTGCCCACACTTTGAGCTGTGAAACCTCACCAGTAAGGGCACATGTGTGCAGCAAGGGCAGAGTTTGCACAATAATAATTGTCCATGAGCCAAGGAAAGTACCCAGAGTTGGCTCTGCTAGCAGTTTAAGCTGAAACAGTCCATCAGCCCTATCCTGGGCTTGTCAGTTCAACAAGTCATCGTGGCAGAGTAAAGACAGAATATGAGGCTGCCATTTTCAGAGTCTTTTTTCAAAACAGAATTACTATGTACAAGTATATCTTGCTAAATTCTTAAATTGTGGGGGTTTTTTTCTAATTGATGTTGCTTTTCAGTACCTGGAAAGATTAAAAATATAAGTTGATATATCATGGCTTGCTGAAAACTGAACAGTGTCTCCTTTTCCTAACTAGTGTTTACTGTTTAAAAAACATTTTTTTGTATTTAGGCTTTGAAATACTATTAAATTTAAGTTTCTTTAGGAATGTTCTGTGCTTTAAGATTGTCTGTTTCTTATATAGCAAAACCAGCTCCACTAGAAATAAAACCTCTGCCTGAGTGGGAAGAATTACAAGCCCCAGTTAGATCTCCTATCACCAGAAGCTTTGCACGAGAGTAAGTTTCTTAGCTTTTCCTCATTCATATTAATTGTTTTTCATTGACCAGAGTGTTAATAAATGTGTGTACATCTGTACTATATTTTTAGCCTGTGTAATACAAATTGAGGTTTCCTTTGGAAGTATGTGTGTGTGTATGTATGCACATGTGTATTAAAATAAAGTGTGCCCATATGAATTTTTATTTTGCAATATTAAATATAAGGGACTGTGTGTAACCGAAAAAATGTGACACTAGTAAACTTGAATGAGAATTTCAGCTCTAACACGCTTATTTTTGTTGTTTACCAGGAGGTTTAAGATATTCGAGATGTATTGTTTGTAAAATAATTCCTGGTAATTAGCTCCTCCAGGTTTCCCATGTCTCCCAGACCGGATTCAGTTCATAGCACAACTTCCAGCAGTGACTCGCACGACAGTGAAGAGAATTATGTATCCATGAATCCAAATCAGTCCACTGAAGACCCAGTATGTAAAATCTACATCTTAACTACTCTCTTCCTGTGCAGTCCTTACTTTTAAATCGTGCAAACACAAATCCTTCCGCTCAACATCACTCCCTTTATACTTCTAGATCAAAATAATAGCAAAAAAATCTCCATATAAAAACTGTAATTTGGTAAGATTTCACTGAAAAAGTTAAGAGCATAATAATATATGAAAAGAATGGTTAGTATACATATCTATTGCACAAAACAGTTCAATACGTGGCTTTTTTTTTTCTCTTTGCTAGAAACTGTCTGCTCTGTAATTGCTTGTCCTGGGCTATGCACCAGTTCAGTATTATGACATCAAGGGAAATAAACTGCCTTGGACCTCTGAGACATGCTTAAAAACCTTTATTAAAAGGACATCTTTTAAGAAATGTGGAAGGAACAGGGGGGATGGGGGGGAAAGGATTGATATTTGTTGTTTATGTTGTATAAAAACTGAGTTGTGTGTACTTTTTTTAGGCTTCTTTCAAAAAAGAGGATAGAAGGGGTCTTTGTGTATTGAATATCTGTATTTTTTCCCCTTTGGGGCAGAATTTTCTCAGATAATAAAGTTTCAGATACTTGACTTGCAGTGCAGTAAGTGAAGAGCTAGTTAGGAAAAGTTAATGATGCATGTGCTGTGGTTTTTGGTTGGTTACTTTTAAAGTAAGAGTGTAGCAGTAGACCCAAGCCTATACTAAAACGTGACCCAGAATACCCCTAAAGCACTGGAGGAAAACCTGTGTCTTGAGCTCAGCTTTTTGTTCGGTATAGTTCAATGCATTCACCACATTTTTACGGCTTGGGTTCTTGGTAGGGAATACAGTAGCATTTTTCATCTTTAAAGCCTTATGGAAGACCTTTGGGGAGGGCCTGTCTAGCACCTTTTTTTGTTCTGTTCGTTTGTCTGCCTTCTTAGACGGCATGTGCTAGCCCCTTTCACTATACCCTGGACTCTCTTCCCCTCCTAGTGCTGCTTGCTCCCCCATCCCCTTGCTGCTCTGGATACCCTACCCCATCTCCTCCAGTCTCCTCCCCCCCGGTGAGCTGGTCCCCCTGAGCGAGTCCCTCCTGCTGACTTCTCTGCAGCAGCTCTGACTCGGTGCAAGCTCACGAGCCTGCGGAGCATCCTGGCCTTGTGCTTTGTACCATGTCCGACCTGCCGACAGCACGGGCGCGCTTCCCAGGTGAAGTGCGCTTCAGCAGCGGGGAGCTGATGATGTAAAAGCTTAGCCCCTCTCTTGCAAGAGGCATTGGTAAGTAATCAGTAACGTCCCGTTTTACAGGTGCAAGAAACATCCCATTTTACACAAAGGTTTAGAATCGCCTGTGCCCACAGTTCTTTCTGTAGCAGAATTGCAGTTCAAATTGGGGATTGCTGTTGATTCGTACAATGCCGTTTCAGGGGTTTAACTTCAATGCCAAGACAGTACAATTTTTATCACAGCTCAGACGGCCTGTAATTAATGTCTTCTGTTTGCTTGCACTATTCATTCTTTAAGGTTGTTTTACAGATTTCCTTTCATTTTTGTTTACATATATTTAAAGTTTCTGTTTTCTAATGCATATGTTCTGCCTGTCTAGTTTGTTTTGAAATAACAGATTATTTTTGTTTAAACAGTAAATAGCTTTTTTATTTATGCTGGAAACATTGATACAAAACCTGATTTTTGTATGTTAAATATGAAGATATTTGTTTAGAGAATTTGGGCAACAAAAATGAACTTTGTCTCAGTTGTACGTGTTTGTCCTTGTTACCGCATAATATTAAATGAGTTGGGCGATGCAGATATAATGGATAACTTCAACTTAAAAAGCCCAACCCATTAAGCTTTAACACATAAAATACTTTATTTCCTAGAGAACCTGAACGTTTCCAGATATCTCAAGGCCTTTGTCTTAAAATGTGCCCATTACATAGACATTTTGGAAACTTCGATTTGTTCCAACTGCATCTTAGAAAGGAGTCCATACTTTTTCATCTTTTTCTGTCATCAGCTTGGAAGCATCTTGTTTGGACATGTCATACTTCTGTTTTATTTAATAAAATCCGCAATATTCTGCTTTTTCTTTCAAGTTGCTGTCAGCCTTACCCTTCTGTCTTTCCTTCTGCCTTCCTCTTCATTTTTTGCTGACTGCTGCCCTCTGTCTTCCTTTTTTTTTCTTTATCTTTTAGAGAAGAGTCCTTCTATTGTACTGTTCCTATAACACCTGTTAAGAGGGAGGGATCAGGCTGGGAGAGGACAGAGGAGGTGAGGTTGTAAAAGTCTGGGCTAATTGAAATTTAGGTATATACGATGCAACTTCAGTTCAGGCAGCCCTACACAAATTTTCCAAAGTTTTCATCTTTTGGTCTTATCAATTGAATAATACTTTTTGATTTTCAACTTAATCATGATGGCTTTTGAATGAAACGTAAAAGTTTCATTTGAAGTTTTGCCACTATTGTAAGGGTGAAATTCTTGTAAGGTATTTAACAGCAATTTAAGGAAATAAAAAAAAGTTTGTAATTAAGTAATGCTACATTTGAGATGTAACAACTTCATTTAAAAAGAACAAACCATACCCCATTCTTACCTCATGATATGAAAGGCACATCAGGTGGAAGGCACAGATTGGTTTGGTGGCAATCTTAAATTTGGGGGGGTTGGTTTTGGGGTTCCCCCCCTTGATTTTCGACTCTGTCCCAGTTTTGACTTGGAATATATCCCCTTGTTAGACAATGCCAATGAAATTCACATGGTTTAACTGATTGCAAGAGCTCTCAGTCAGTTCTTTAACCTTTAAAATTTTGGCAGTTTATAATAAGCGTATTTGATAATGAGGACCGTTAGCATATACGTTTGTAGCTGAAGTTTGTTTATATTATAATTTCAGAATTTGTTTGGAAGCAACAGTCTTGATGGAGGAAGCAGCCCTATGGTAAAACCTAAGGGAGATAAACAAGTAGAATATTTAGATCTGGACCTAGATTCAGGAAAATCTACCCCACCTCGTAAGGTAAGCAAATCTTCAACTCTTGCATTTCTGCCACCAAGAGTTTAAAATTTTTTCACAAGTAGTTGCTGGGAAAGAGGGAGCCTCCAGCAAGATCACCTTAACTAGTTTGTCAAGTGGTCAATCGGAGGGAGAGCCTATGTTGGACCTTTCAGAGAAACTTGTGCTTGTTCTGTATCTGTTTGGGATATCTGCTTACTTCTTGTTGTGAATTTATTTTAACATGTTTTTCACTCTGCCTTGCCTTTCCCAGAAAAAGAGCAGTGGTTCGGGCAGCAGCGTGGCAGATGAACGAGTTGATTATGTTGTGGTTGACCAGCAGAAAACGCTAGCACTGAAGAGCACGCGAGAGGCATGGACTGATGGGAGACAGTCTACAGAATCTGAAACACCTACAAAAAGCGTGAAATGAAAATGCTGCTTTTTCTTCAAAGAACAGAAAGGAGTGGATTTTGAAGAATTACAGACCCACAGTGGCAGTGTTGTTCAACTGTACAGTCAGTACTTGGTTCACTGGTGTGTGAATAGGTTCTTGACCAAATAGAATGGAAGCCAAAGGACACTTTGAATATATCAAAGGAATTTTAAGATCGTAAATTGGCTCTGTGGTCTCTGGAAAAATTGCAACCTGTAAATAACATGTAAAATAGTATTGCTTAGCTTTCAGAAAACCTTTTGTTCTGTAGTTAACACATTTGTAGTATTACTATGTTTATGCACTTTTCAGTTACAATGTTGGTTCAGGTATTCCCAGTTAGTGTACCTTAATGCCTAATTCATCTGGAGAATTTTTTTTTTTCCTTACACTACTATTCCTTACAATTTTAGGTTAATTAAGCTACATGTAGATACAGAAATTAATATTTGAACTTCATTTTAACATCTTAAATTTGATTTTGCGGAAATACTTTCACAATTGAATAATCTACTTGAAATGCCAAGAGACGACCGTTAGTTACATACTTGTTTATATTTAATACACACAAGATTATTTGGAAGTCTACAGGTTACCTTCCTAACAAAAATTGCTGTGAGTTAATAATAATGAACTGTACTGGGTTTAGACCTACAATCCTGGCTTATATGTTAGTTGTTAGTGGTGGAACTTCTATTGTATTTTATTAATGACAGTGTTCTGTGTTCAATGGGTGAAGATTCTGCAGGGTGGGATCTTACACTTTTAAAGACTGAATAATTAAATATCAAGTAAGCCTGCAAACCACTGATGGCATGCAGTAATATTGTGATCTCACACTTATTAACAAGAAATAACCTTTATATTATTTACAGAAGGTAGAGTATATAAATCAGGTACGTACCAAGCACTATTGTGCTAATACACTGATCAGGTTTAGACAATGAGCTTTAGTTTTGTACTATTTAGAAGTTCTAATGTCAGTTGTCAGTTCAAGATTAATGGGACAGTTTGACATTCACTGTTCGTAGTACTAGCAAAATACTGTGATTTTGAATTAGACATTAATTCAAATGGAAATACTATGTTTTGACACCATAGTGCCCTTCTTATGATCTCTATTTTACTTTAATCTCCTGCTTGGCCTTATATTTAAATCCCTATGCAACTGATATTTTATATCTCTGTTTTTAAAAATTAGATAATATACTTAAATGATCCCCTTGTAAACCACTTGTTGTTCTTTCCTGGTACAGGATTTTAAGCTCTGTATACTGTGATCCTTTATTTTACTATGCCAGTTCCAAATAATAATCTGCCTTGGTTTAGAAACATTTTTTTTGTTATTTGGAAGAAGATAGTTCTTTAAATATGTGAATGATTTAGGTCTAGATAGAAAACTTACTAACACTTTTTTTTTTTTTACACAAACATCCTCAAGTAAGCAGTTGGTTTTTGTTTTCCCACTCAATTGTTTTATTTTGTCCAGATCATTTAAAAGTTGAGCATAGAGCTGTGTTCTTTTCTGGCATGTTGGCCTTAGTACTGTGCCTAATCTACCATTGGTTGTTTCTCTCCCCTCACAGCCACAATCTACAGTATGTAAATTATCTTATTCTTAACAAGGGTTCTTTTTAAATTAGTAATATTTTGATGCTTTGAATGTTCATTTTAAAAAAGAAACTAAACACAATGCATTTTGAGGTGAATTTTAAATAAATCAAGTTGTTCAGTTTTGATGTGTAAACTCTGTCCTGTGAAACAGCAAACCAACCTTAATGCGTCTATGAAGGTGCCTAGATACCAACCACGCTTTTTCGAAATCATAGATTACCTCTTAGTACCTCTCAAAGAAACCATACAGCTAAAATAATTTTCAAGATGTATCTCTTTAAAACCAAGCAGCTAAATAATCTGAATTCCCAGTCTTCTGGAAGCCAGAAGAAGTGATGTGAGCCAGGGAACCTTGATGACTCAATCAAAAGTAGTTCAAACCTATGAAGATTCTGGAGCTATAGCTCAACTCTGCTTTGACAGTCTTCCTATCCAATAATAAACTCTTCTTCACAGTTGCTCCAGTTGAAGCACCCGTAGGCATGGTAAGTACTTGGTAACTAATGTAACGATAGGACACTTGTTTTAGGACACTAGCTTTAAGCATTTTATCGGTGCCATGATAGCAGTGCATCTCCACTGCTGAGATGCCTGTAATTCGTTAACAGATGTGGTTAAATAATCACTTTGCTGTTTATCCTACATAATTGGTTTGGTGCTTGCCATTGGGGAGAAGAATCATGCTGCACTCATGCGTGCACCCAAGGATTAAGATGATCTTGGAATATTTCAAGCTTGTGTTTCTTTATTCTCTCAATAGATGGGAGAATTTGAGGGAGAAGGTTTGAAAGGGCTGCTCATTTTTTTACCTAACCCATCTGTCTTTGAAACATTTACCAACTATGCAACTATGTATTTTTAAAATTCTTTGGATTTTTGTAATCAAACAGTGATTCTTATGTCTAGATATCTATATTATTTTTTCACATGTTGCAAGCATCTCTGATAGTGAAGTATAAATGCCTAAAAGAATCGGTTTCCTAGGCTGGCCTCTCTTGTTGAGCTAGTGATACAAGGTGGTTTTGCTCTCAGTTTGCTGCTATCAGTCCTTGTTTTACAGATTACACTTATTCTTTCTTCATTTTAAATTTGGCAGCATTCACAATGTTAATTGTTGTTATGATTGAGAATCCACTCTTAATTTCTAAGCTTTTCCCCTTCCTTTCCTTCAGGAAGTTGGCAGTGTTCAGCCTGTACAGGCATTATAATGCTTTCTAAGTATTAGTCTAAAATTTCTCTTTAATTAGATTTCCAAGCAGTTTTCTCCCCCTAATTCCAGTAATACATTTCTTTACTTACATGTCCAAAGTCTGTTTGGAATCAGAGCTGTGATACTAACTCTGGATGGTACATCTCATTTTCATCTATAAAGCTAGAGTTGGGGCTTTGTGCTCCGGGTCTGTCTGAGCTCTTGGATAGTCTAAGGATGTGAATATTGAATTGAAAATGTGAATCCTAAATTTTAGGTGGTAGAAAGGAAGCTAGACTGATGTTAGCCTTGTGTAAGTTTGAGTCACTAGTTTTGTAAGGATACTCTAACTAGAGGGATGGCTGCTGGTAGAAATTCTGTAGATATCGGTGCAGAAGTAGTTTGTGAGTGGTGTTTGTCAAGTGTTCTTTTTCAAACAAGTAAGTTCTTTCTTGTTTCGCTAAAAGCAGTGTGTTACCAGTTGAGGATATAGTTTTCATTGCTGTACGTGGCATGAGTAATTTTAAACTGCAAATGTATGTGTGTAATAGGTCTTTTACAAATGCACAAAATGTTGCTCACAAAAATCAAAAGAAAAACTTAGTGCCTTGTGCACTAAGATTGACTCTAAAGATGGTTTGGTATCACTTCATGCCATAATCTGAACAACATGTTATCTGGTAAGTACTAGTGGCCACACTTTTACACACCGTGAGATAATCGCTATTACTTCATGAAGTGCAGGTGCAAACACAGCTCTGCTGTTCTGCTAAACATTTGTAAAGTGACACTGAAAAAGACGAAAGATAAAAATGTGATCATTAGCCTTTTTTACTGGCATTTGTATTTATAATCCCACACACACATTCACTTATGGCAGTTGTGACATAGGGCATACAGACAAATTACAATCTTGCTGTTTTAATTAATTTAGAAGTCATTGCTCCATGTAGCTAAATAGGAAGTGATGGGCAGCTCTATAGCTTTCACATTGTACTATGAGCTAAGCAAGTTTTTTATGGCAGTGAAATTTAAGATTAGCTCTTACCAACTCCAGCAGTCAATTCATGTATGTATTGTAGTCTTGCCAAACTGCTTTGGAAACTTAGCAGCCCTGGACAAACCTTCCATGCCCTCCTTTACTATAGAGGTTTATGTCATAAAAAGCCAAAGGATGTTTATTTGCCCAAGAAAAAGGTATTGCCATATAGTATCTGTCCAATTTTAGAAAGCAGTAATATCATTTGATGTCTTTGGATATTTTACACCTATCCTCCGTATTTCTTGCATCTGCTCTTGGTGTCTGTGTATTGCTCCAAACACCGCTGCTTAAGGTTCATTTCTTCTTGTCTGTCTCATTACATAGAAATACTGATGTGGTCCATGGCCACCAAAAAAAAGTGCTTGACCAGCAATTGATGTAATAAATGTTCCACAAAACCATTGTGTTGATTGGGCATAGGTGAACCAAACGCCAAGTTGTGAGGGTTTTGTGTGGCTTTTTGTTTTAACTGAACAGACAATTTGGGTGCGGGCCTCAACTTGATGAGGTGCAGAGAGGGACAAAAAGAAAAGGTGCTTGAGATGGTGATGAACAATGTCTTTGACATTAAAAGTTTCCCAGTATGTGTTTATGGTTCTGCATCCTTGATGTTTAATTTTCAGTAACAAAAGTGGGAGAATAGCAGGTGTTAGATGCATGACTAGTTGAAAGGCTTTTGCCATCTCATCGTTAATAAACAGAGCTAGGCCATTCCGATGCCAGTGGTTTTCTTTTTAGATGGGGTTTAAAAGAAAATTCCCGTGTTCTATTTGAAAGGGACCATCTATGTTTGCTTCAACTTTTTTATAAGAAACAAGTTAGCTGAAGTGTACAGTTGTGTAATCTGCAGTGTATACACGTAACTTCCAACCTGGTATTCTATGTTTCTAACTTAAGAAATGCTAAACATTTTGGTAAAACCAACTTGCAAAATAAGTATCTCGCTGTGATGCCAAATTTAGTAAGCCAGTAGAATTACTTTTCAGTTTCTAAACAACAAGGCATGGGCCAATGCCTTTTACTTCTTGTGTTTAAGAACAAAAAGTAAACGTTAGAAAAACTTACTAATTTTGAAATGTTTTAGTTTACTATAGTAAGATGGAATAGAAAAAATCCTATACAGTGCAGAACATAAAATACAAAGCTGTTAAAATGGAGACACTCAAAATTTTTTTTGCAGTTATAAAATCAACATTTGTAGTAATCATCATGATTCACTCCTGAAGATTCTTACAGGATCCATCATTGTTGCCAAGCCTTTTCCTGGTAAACTATATCTGCAATGAAACAATAAGAAAATGGGTGTCACATCAATTTTGAAAAAGGCCAATCCTACTATTATGAGATTTTATTAAATCCTGTTTGAGGTTCTTTTTGGCTGGTGCTGGGTGCTGGCCTGTGGATGTGGGGCTGGCACAAGGTACCCAGACAACTTGATCCCACTTTGGAAGAGGGTGTGGAAATCCAGTCTGCAAAGTAGAACTAGGCTTAGTATTACTTTTAGAATTGACTGAGCACTTTTAAGTATGAAATAATGTTTTTTATTTGGAAAAACAGAAGGCTCACAGCAGGGCATCTCAGTATTTTATGCAAGTTTAGCTGTAGACCTGGCAGAAGAGTTGAGCTGTACTTGAACTAGCTGTAACTAGCTAGTGACTAGTTGTATAATCTAACAGTGCCTCTAGGTGCCCAAGAAACAACACTTAAAGCTACAGGTAAAGTATAGATTTCTATTCTAAAACTCTGTTTACAGAAAATACATTGGTATCTGGAAAGCTGATTGTTGGTGCTGATCGTTGGTACCAATTGTAAGCAAATACAACTGGGCAGCAGAAAGTTGCCTTTACTACATTTTTACTTTTAATCAGATGGCCAGAATAGGAGGAAAGTATAATTATGCCTTATTTTTCCTGAATTCTTACCAGACTTTAAATTATATTATTTCATATTTTTACGCTATTTTCAGGGAATATACTTTAGAGGAAGGAATCACTACTTGTTTCTGTGCCCTTGTGCTGTGGATTTACACACTTGTAAACTATGCAGACTAATTGAAATGTTTGTTCAGGACTTTTTTCCCTTACCTGTTAGTGGTGAAGGATGCTGGCCTGGGAGTTTTGGGCATGCCTCAGACTGACCTGCTGGAGCACCTCAATTTCAGTTTGGAGTTAATTGCATCAAAATGGTGATTCAACCCTCCGCTGAGGTTGTCTTCATAGTAGTACACAGAAATCACAGTGTATGTATTTAGTTACTTCTAAAAAATTATTTATAGTTGAGACCAAAATGTTGAAACAAATGATGTTCAGAGTTAGACTTCATAATCTCTAGTTAGGTACGGAGCAGCATTTTTAAACAGCATTAAGTGTAACAGGTTGCAAGTTCCTCAGCCACACAAATCCATTTTATGATCTTTTGAGGAGCAGACTTTAATATTCCAGGCACCGGTGTATCCTGTTTATGTAAGTGGAAGTTCCAAGAAC